GAAGAGAGTCAGGGAGGCGAGTGACTAGGTGGTACAGTGTGAGGTACATCGGGGGAGGGTTCTTGGCGAGGAAATCAGGAGGAAGCGCGGCACGGTAGCGGAGATCACTAGTACGGAGGTGAGTGATAAGGTCAGCTACAGTGGCAAAGGCGGACAGATCGGGGAAGAGATAGGGCAGTGAGAGACGACCTATCGCAGCAGTAGCAGGGGAGGAGTAGCGCGCAACTACAGCATCGTACAGTTCCTTCGCGGTCTTATGCTGGCCAAAGTGCTCGCGCTCATCTAACGGCAGGTGGCTGCGAACGGCTAGGCGAGCGTGAGCGTCACGGGTCTGCCACTGTGAGCGAGCTGTACTGTCAGCGGTAGCAGCAGGTGCGAGAGCTACGCCGGACGTGTGGTCAAACAGAGAAACATCGTCCTTGGCAGTGATCTGGAGGAACAGGTGGAGGTCATCGAGCCAAACGTCAAACTTAATCGGTCGGCCCTCAAAGTCAAAGGTGAGAACAGTAGGACTGGCCATAGTGGCAGGAGCAGCAGTAGCAGTAGCAGCAGTAGCAGTAGCAGTAGTAGCAGTAGCAGTAGTAGCTGTAGCAGGAACAGGAACAGCAGTTGCTACAGGTGGGGCGGCGCGGCTCGGTCAGGGCGGCGCGACTTGGGCGGCGCGACTCGGGCAAACAGGGCGGCGCGACGGCGGGCCTATGCACGGTGCGCGGCGGCGCCTAGGGTGCGGCTGTGCGTGGGCCGCGGCTGCGTTTGTGCGGGTGGCTGCGATCGAGCGGGCGGCGGCCTAAGGGGACGCGGCGGCGGTCGACGGGCGGCTAGCGGGCCGCGCTAAGAGGCGCGCGAGGCCAGAGCGGGCTGCGCGTGGGCGGCGACGACGGCGCGAGCGACTAGCGGGCCGCGCGCTCAAGAAACGGGCCGCACACGGGCGGCTAGCGGGCTACGCGACGGAAAAAAAAACGGGCCCCGCGCTCGGGTTGCTAGCGGCTGCGCACGGGCAGCGTAAGAGGAGAGGAGGCGCGCGAGGGCGCACTAGGAGCGAGGCGCACGAGGGCGCTAGGAAAGGACGGCGCACGAGGGCGCTTCGAGCGGAAACGGTGGGCCCTAAGAACGGTCCTAGGTTCCTAACCCTAGGCTCGTAATACCATGTCAGAATGAGTGAAGTGATTGAACTAGGAAAGTTGGGAGTACAAGTATGAAACCCTAGAGATTGTACCCCTTAAGGCTAAAACCACTACAGCCTACAGAACACAAACATATACAATGTTTGACACCTGCTGCGCCTGTCGCCCGTGGGTCCGTTGCTCCTGCCGCTCTTCGTAGCCGCCGAGCCAGTTACTCCAGTAGTCCGGGGCGCTGTCCCGGTAGCCACTGTGCCAGCCGCTCCTGTAGCCCGTATGTCTGCAGCTTCAGCCGTCGCCTCCCATCTTCTCGCCCCCACAGTCTCTCCTCCTCCTCACTTGCCCTTTGTGAATGCCTCTAGCCTTGCTTGTCCTTGTGAACCTGCTCTATGCCTGCTTGCTGTGCTGATTATACCCCACTTTGACTATGGGGGTGTGTCAGAATGTTATTATTGTCTAGCCTGCAGTGGGGTACTCTATAGCGAGTACAACCCAATTAGGGTTTCCTATATGTATGCCAACTGCTGCTAGTGCAAACCCTTCTTTGCTCATTTCTCTCTTGCCTAGCTAGGTAAACCCTAGCTATGGCTCCTTCTTCTCGCTACTATTCTGACAGATCACTGAAATCGCGTGAGTATTGAGAGAGGACTTGCTGAAAAATGAAAAGGTGGGTACACAAGTCGTAGAAGGCATAAACTCTCTGTTTTGCTCTCTGATGTTTATATCTAAAACACACATGCATAATTGTAACATCGAACCGCACGCGACTCGACGGAAATTCGGACTTGGGATTTCCAATTTCCGCGACGTCGACGTTCATATTTTCGGAGTTTGCCGAGTTCATTTCAACACGCCAAAAGCCTATGTAACACGAAACAATTGCGAGTGTAGCAAAATGTTCCAAACATTCGCTTGCACTCTCGCTATTTTCGTGTGTGCTTTGTGGGGCTGCCAAGTGTCGCCCTCACAAATGTTCGGACCCAACCGGGGAAAGTTCGGTTGCGTGGCGACGCGGACAATCCGCCGTCACCCCAACCTTCCAAGAACAAACCCTCCCTTGGTCCGAGTCAAAGGGAGGTTTTTCGCGTGGGGGGCAATCCCGTTCCCCACACTTGGCAGCATGGGGTGGGGAATTCGTCAGCATTGGCTATTCGGAAAAAAAAATGGCGCTCTGTGGAAAGATCACCAAGGTGGTGTAACGTGTGGCTCCTCTGGTGTACCGTAATTTTACGTATTTAGTGGCTCATGTTGTATCGGGGATGTGGATACTACTTGAAAGCCTTTTGGTTTAAAGTTTGTTCGCCACTGATTGCTCTCTCAATTCGCGCCAACCATATAATACACCTCGCCACCACATGGTGCTTCAGAGCTGTCGAACGCATATTGTAGGGGAAGAGAAGACAAGGCAAGGGACAATTCAGGAGGCGCCGTGGAATGCTGATAGAGACTGTAGGATTGCCTCCCCAGAGAGAAATACGATTTTCTATGCTCTGCTCTGCTCTGCTCTGGTCTGCTCTGCTCTGCTCTGCTTTGTCCTGCCCGCGAGGTGCAGCGCTCTTCATGGAGCATCGTCTGCCGCACCGCATCAGTCCTCGTGCCATTGCTCCCACACGATGGCACCGTTTCCACCGCTGTGTCTGCCCTTCTGCCCTTCTCTGCCCTTCCCTGCCTTCCCTGCCCGCCAGGTGCGGGGCTCTTCACGGTTGCAGTGTCTGAGGCATCAGTCCTCACGCCATTTCCCCCACACAATGGCACCATTTCCACTACCGTGTCTGCCGCATCTGCCCTTCTGCCCTTCTCTGCCTTCCCTGCCTTCCCTGCCTTCCCTGCCCGCCATATGCGGCGCTCTTCACGGCTGCAAGACACACCGAGCTGTAGCAATGCCAGCTTTGTCGAGAAACGCTAGCAGAAAGTTAGAAACAGAAAGGGGGGTTGCACTAGCAGCAGATAGGATACATATAGCAAACCCTAATTTGGGATGTACTCACTATAGAGTACCCCACTGCAGACTAGAAAATTATAGAATTCTGACACACCCCCATAGGCAAAGTGGGGTATGATCAGCACAGCAAGCAGTCGCATAAGAAGTTCACAAGCACAAGCAAAGCTAGAGGCAATCAAAGAAGGCAAGTGAGGAGGAGGAGGGATTGTGAGAGGAGTGGAGATAGGAGGCGACGGGTGAAGCCGCAGACACACGGGCAACAGGAGCGGCGCGCACGGTGGCTACCGGAGCAAGGGCCCCGGACTACAGGAGTAACTGGCTCCGCGGCTAAGACGAGCGGCAGGAGCAACGGACCCACGGGCAACTGGCGCAGCAGGCTCGCTGGGCTACCGGAGCAAGGGCCCCGGACTACTGGCGCTGCTGACGTCACGACGGCTACCTCCGCTCAACCTCCCCCAACTGTCCCACGCCCCTTTCACACACCCCTTGCTGCACCCCTAGCTCCACTCCCACGACACCCCCCTAGCGCCACTCCCTCGGCTCCCACACACCCACCCCCCTTGCAGCAGGAGGAGCAGGGGATGGCACACACACCCGCCACCCCCATACCCGCCACCCCCATACCCCCAAGGCAGGCGGCGCACGTGCGGCGCGGGGCAGATACGCGGGCAGCAGCTGGGGCGCTGAGACGGGCGACGGGCAGGGCGGCGCGCGGGCCCCCAGGGCGCCGCGACGGGCGACGGGAGGGGGCGACGCGCGGGCCCCCGGGGCGCTGCAACGGGCGACGGGAGGGGGCGGCGCGCGGGCCCCCGGGACGCCGCGACAGGCGACGGAAGGGGACAGCGCGCGGGCCCCCAGGGCGCCGCGACTGGCGACGGGAGGGGGAACGACGCGCGGGCCCCTGGGGTGCCGTGACGGGCGACGAAACCGCCACGCGCGCCTGGGGCGCGCGGCGGGCACGAAACCGCCACGCGCCCCGAGCGCGTGGCGGGCAGGGCGCGTGCGCCGGGCGCGCGGCAGGCAGAAAACGACGCGTGCGCCGGGCGCGCGGCAGGCAGAAAACGTCGCGCGCCCCGGGCGCGCGACAGGCAGGACAGCAGCGGAAGCAGGTGGGCCCACAGGCCAGGAGCGTTCTCGCTCTGATAGCATGTCGAGAAACGCTAGCATAAAGTTAGAAACATAAAGGGGGGTTGCACTAGCAGCAGATAGGATACATATAGCAAACCCTAATTTGGGCTGTACTCACTATAGAGTACCCCACTGCATACTAGACAATTATAGCATTCTGACAAGCTTTAATGAATGCGTTAATACCTGCATATGTGAATAATAACGAATGTGGTGTTATTAGCAAATGTGTTTCACTTCTCTCGATAACATTGATAGTACTGCAGATGTTTCCGCTTGTAGTCGGTCCCATGATATCATGGCCACAGGCGATTCTAGCATCCGTCCTATAATGCAACACTCTCATACCTTGCTTGTGCTAACACTGTGGTAGTGCATCAGGTAGGGCAACCTCAACACATCGCTAGTGCAGCATCTTCAATGCTGATCCTTTTACTGTCTCTCCATGCGCCCCTATCCCTGCCGTTCCCTTTATATCAGTAAAATACGTGGGCAATCTGCGTCCCACTACGGTAAAATCAACGGGAAAGTGGTTGGCGACAAAGGTGCATCGGGGAAAATCATACCGTCATCGCCCGGATATAAGACAGTGTTGAATAGTAGACAGGGGTTGTCTACTATACGGGTGTCTCTTATAAACAGGCTAGCCTTTTTATACGACACCTATTTGTGTGTACGAGTTAAGACATATATGTCTTATAATCAGAACCGGGGTTTAGGGGTTTTCTTATAAACAGGGGGTGTCTTCTAAACGAGCCTTCCTTACTTTAGGGGGGTACATGCATACATTCATGAATCTCTACTTCTACCTAACCCCCCTCAGTCACCGCCTCCTCACCTGCACTAACAACAGGCTCTACACCCAGGTCTGGCACTCGCCAGGCATGCCTAGCCGTCTCCCTAGGCTCGATCATGCGGTCAGCCTCGGCCGCCGCTCCGCGGTTGTCGGGGGTCTCCTGGTACAGCACCTCCAGGCCGGTTGCCACGGCCACCTCCCGCACGCCCTCCGCCTGCATCGCCGCCGCCTCCTCCTCCTCCTCCTCCTCCTCCTCCTCCTCCTCCTCCTCCTCCTCCTCCTCCTCCTCCTCCTCCTCCTCCTCTGGAGCCTGACCGAGCAGGCGCGTGTTGTCGCCTGTGGTCCCCCCGAGGGACATGTCCGCGGAGACATCGGTGGTGCTCCTGGCGCGCAGGTGAGACATCACCAGGTGGTTCTCCGTTCCGTCCAGGTTGCTTGAGATCCCACAGTGGCGGAACGCGTCGATGATGATCTGCTTGGGGACTTGATCCCAAGCCTCCGCGATCCACTGCAGCACCACGGGGTGCGGAGGCCTCCGCAAGTTCCCTGCGGGTGGGACAGAGGACGGGGCAGCGAGATGTTAGAGACACGGACATGAAGGAGCATGTTTAAGACAAGGACAGGAAACAGCACAGGAATAATACCGTAAATGAAGGACCAACTCACCCTTCTTCGTCTTCAGGTGAATCCCTTCACGCATGAACCACCTGGCGTAGCGCGCTCGCACAGCAGCCTTGAAGCACCGGTTGATGGAGACGTCCAGGGGTTGAATCTGGCTCGTACAACCCGCTGGGATGACTGCAGGGGTGATGCAGTGCGTGCGGTACGACTGAAGCATGGTCTGGGTGATGTGACCGCGGTAGGAGTCCAACACCAGCATCGCACGCCTCGCGTTCTGGTCGCGCTGGGGGTTCAGATGGGGCAGCACCTCCTTGGACAGCCAGGTCTGCACAGCGCTCTCGTCCATCCACCCGTTGTCCTGTGCTTGGACCACGATTCCTGCCAGGCACACACGGGACAGACGGGCATCAGCACAGTGGGGCACGCTCCTCAGGCAGTCGCACGGTTGAATTCATTACGCTTACCTTCCGGAATCTCACAGTTGGGGACGTTCTTCATCTTGAACCACACCCACGGCCGCAGCTTCTCCCCGGATGCAGTGCACGCGAGCATCACCGTCAAGCGCGTCTTCTGGTAGCCTGCAGTGCGGATTGGGACCGAGCGCGCGCCACGGTGCTCGATCGTCCGTTCGGCTGGCATCTCCACGAATAGTGGAGTCTGGTCCGCGTTGATGATGCGGGCCAGGTCGATGTTGTGCCGCGCCCTGTTGATGCACACGAACTTCCAGAAGGACTCGCAGTCCTTCGCGCACTCTGCAAACGGGACAAGCGCAACGGAAGCACGGGATGGTTAGACACTGGGTGAGGTACATGCAGTCAATAGCCCGCGCGCGACACGAATTCCTTCAACACGCACCTGCTGACAGACGTTGGCCGACCTTGGTCTTCACCCGCATCACCAGGTTCCAGCGGTCACGGAAACGCTGGCTCCAGTGAGAGCTCGCGTTCCAGTTCTTGCCGGGGTAATGCTTCTTCATCCACTCGCGGCTCCACTTCTGGGTGTCCACCGCCGCTTCCTGTGCATCCGCCGCTGCCTCCGCGTTGTGACCATCGCCATTTTCACCTCCGTCGTTGTCCGAATCACCAGCCCGCCACTCTTCCACCTCTTCGTCGCTCCCGACCGGCCGATTCCACCATTCGTCCTCGTCGATGTCGGCAGGACCTAATTCGTCGCCCGAAGCGCTGTCGTCGTGGCCGTTCTCCGGCCAATCCTCCGCGGCGTCGTCGCCGTTCGCTTCGTCTCCGTCGTCCGCGTCACAGCTCGCACCGGAGGCGGCGGTAGGACTTCCCGCCTTGCTCGCGTTCTTCGCCATCGCTACACGGATGTCATCGCCGGGCGAGTTTATTCGCCCGTAGTTATTCACCTGCACGTGAGGACGAGGTGAGGAATTGCCTACTGGTACTTTGCTGCGCATGGTTAGAAAGCCTGCCGAGAGCAAGGTTGAGACGAGTATTCAACATCCTTGAGCACCAAATGAAGTGAGAGCCCGACTACCCCCCCCAGCCAGAGTGCCCCATCCACAGGTGCCGAGCCACTCCTCTACGAGGCATCTCCTCGTAGAGGACAGCCCTCACGCTGCCAACGTGCTGCCAGCAGCGTTCTGGAAGCATCCCTGCGCTGCTGGTAGCAAAACGACGCTGGCAGCATCATTAGATGCTGCCAGCACAGAGGAATGTTGCCAGCGGTGGCAGCTCCCTCACGTGGCAAGTGTGGGCGCTGCATGCATCACCACCGAGGTCGGCCTGTTTCAATGAATCTGGTCCCTGGGTGGTTTCTACACACATTGCAAGTGTTACAGTCAACTTAAAAACTTTTCCATTTATAAGACTTATAAGACACCCTAAACCATCCCGTTTACAAGATAACTCAAGCATTTTTGCACGTGTACGAGATAAGACATATATGTCTTATATCCGGGCGATGACGGTAATGAAGGGAATCAGGTACGTCTCCGCGTGATTTCATTCACTGTCCAATTTCAGTGCGATTTCAGTCTACTGGTTCTAGTATTGCAACACACAATTGGCGACAAAGGTGCATCAGGAAAAATAATGAAGGGAATCAGGTACGTCTTCGTTTGATTTCATTCAGTGTGCAATTTCAGTCTATTGGTGCAATTTCAGTGTGTCCACTTTCCCCCTCCGCTGTCCCACCTTTGCAACTACCCCTTTCAGTGCCTTGTTAACAGATATGCGTCAACCTCATATGCTAGCAGCTTGTTTTTCCAAGTCCTGAACATTGCATAGGGAGGGAAGCCGCCGTCCACAAGCTTCGGAGCGTCATGCATTCCCAACAACTTCGAACCACCCCTGAGCAAAACCTGGGTGGAGGTCACGAGCAGCAAGAGCGCTCGCCGCAAGCGTTACAGCTTCATTGTGAAAGAGTTTTCCGGGGCAAAGAGTCTGGCGGAGGTGCGAAGTTCGATGGACGAGGCAATGACGAGTGGCAGATTCTTCAGAGTAAACCACACACAAGCTGGTGCTGTGTGGGAAGGTCACCAGAATGGTGTAAAGCGTGGTCCAAGGATTGAACGAAGAGTCTGGCGGAGGTGCGGAGCACGATGGGCGAGGCAATGGCGAGTGGGAAGTTTATAAGGGTCAATCATACGAACAACAAGCTGGTGCTCTGTGGAAAGTTGACCAAGGTGATATAAGTAGTGGCTGGCTCAAATGGTGTAGATGTACCGTATGTTTTTTTAGGCGCCTAACAATTTCTTAAGAGTTAACCATTCGAACAACAAGCTGGTGCTCTGTGGGGAGATTACATACCATACATATGGGTCACCACCGGCCGGCAACCTTCACCACCAGCAGAAGTAACAAGTCACACAAGCAACAGCTGTACAGATAGACAGTTTTGAGATTCACTAAACAAGGTTATGACTGTACAAGAAGCAACCTCTATAACATCTAACGTCAATGGCGCTGTTACAGTAAAAACTATATATGTGTATAGCTGTACTGTAGCTGGTGGAGGCGACATGGGATGCGAGGGCTAAAAACGTTAGGTGGAGATATTGTCGCTTTTTTTTTTTCTGAATGTTCCTCTCGCCTTCTGTCTTGATGCACAGGCCAGCCCCAGGTGAAACCCTAGAACGGTTTTAGTAGATGCAGGAGAGGTTGCAGCAGGAGCAAGTTGACTCTTGAGTCAACTCAACAGTCAAGTAGGATTTTTCTAGGAATTCTTCTCGCCTTTCGTCTTCATGCACTGGTAAGCCCCTGGTGAAACCCTTGAAATGATTTACAAGATGAAGGATCAGCCGCAGCGGGAGCAGCACGAGTGGGAGTGCCAAACGCAGGAACAGAAGCAGGAGAGGGAGTGGCGAACGCAGGAGCAGCAGGAGGGCACCAGCAAACGTCAATAGAGACCCTAAGTCAAATGTCTTTGATGCTGGGGTAGAAACGGACTGAAACAAAACGCCGGAGTTGAAGCACCAGGAGCGGCACGAGCAGAACCAAAACCAAAACTCGGAGGAGCAAACGCGCCAAAACCGAAACCCGGAGTTGAAGCACCAGGAGCGGCAGGAGCAGAAGCGAAACTAAAAGCTGGAGTTGAAGCACCGAGAGCATCAGGAGCAGAACCGAATCCAAACGCCGGAGTTGAAGCACCAGGAGCGGCAGGAGCAGAACCGAAACCAAAACCAGTAGTTGAAGCACCAGAAGCAGCAGGAGCAGAACCGAATCCAATCGCTGGAGTTGAAGCACCAGACGCGGCAGGAGCAGAACCGAAACCAAATGCCGAAGTTGAAGCACCAGACGCGGCAGGAGCAGAACTGAACCAAAACCAGTAGTTGAGGCACCAGAAGCGGCAGGAGCAGAACCGAATCCAAACGCCGAAGCTGAAGCACCAGACGCGGCAGGAGCAGAACCGAAACCAAATGCCGAAGTTGAAGCACCAGACGCGGCAGGAGCAGAACTGAAACCAAAACCAGTAGTTGAGGCACCAGAAGCAGCAGGAGCAGAACCGAATCCAAATGCTGAAGTTGAAGCACCAGACGCGGCAGGAGCAGAACCGAAACCAAATGCCGAAGTTGAAGAAACAGGAGCGGCAGGAGCAGAACCGAAACCAAATGCCGAAGTTGAAGAAACAGGAGCGGCAGGAGCAGAACCGAAACCAAATGCCGAAGTTGAAGAAACAGGAGCGGCAGGGACAGAACCGAAATTAAAAGCCGGAGTTGAAGCACCAAAAACCACAGCAGTGGCCGGAGAAAGCGAAGAAGAAGCACCAAAGGCAGGAGCAGAAGCTGCAGCGGGAGCGGCAGGAGAACAAACGACAAAACCAGTAGGACGAGCTGCAGGAGTGGGGGAGGGGGAAGAGGCGGGAGAGGGGGCAGCGGCAGGAGAGGGAGCAGAGACGGGAGAGGGAGCAGAGACGGGAGAGAGGGCAGAAGCGGGAGTGGAGGAAGAGGCAAGAGAGGGAGAAGAGGCGGTAGAAGGGGCAGCGGCAGGAGAGGGAGCAGAGGTGGGAGAGGGAGCGGAGGCGGGAGGAGGAGCAGCAGCGTGAGAGGGAGAAGAGGCGGGAGAGGGGGCAGAGGTGGGAGGGGGAGCAGCGGCCGGAGCAGAGGCGGTAGAGAGGGCGGTGGCGGGAGAGGGAGCAGCAGCGAGAGAGATGGGAGAGGCAGCAGAGGCGGGAGTGGGAGAAGAGGCGGGAGGGGGAGCAGCAGCAGGAGAGGGAGCGGAGGCGGGAGGGGGAGCAGCAGCGGGAGAGGGAGCGGAGATGGTAGAGGCAGCAGAGGCGGGAGTGGGAGAAGAGGCGGGAGAGGGAGCAGAGGCAGTAGAGGGGGCAGCGGCGGGAGCGGGGGAAGAGGCGGGAGCAGAAGCAGTGGACGGAGCGGCGGCGGAAGAGGGAGCGGCGGTGGGAGGGAGAGCAGAGGCAGGAGCAGGGGCGGGAGCAGAGGCTGGAGTGAGAGCGGTGGCAGCGTCTGGAGGTGGAGGTAGATGAGTCGACCCTAAAGCGGAGGCAGAGGAGGGAGGAACTTTAGCTGCTGCAGCTGCTGCTAGTGCTGTTGCTGTAGCTGCTTCTGCTGCTGCTGATGCTGGTGCAGCTGCTTCTGCTGCTGCTACTGCTGGTGCAGCTGCTACTGCTTCAGAGGACGAATGAAATTGAATCAGCTCGGGAGGGGTGCTGACGCCGACAGAAACGCTGGCGCCGTGGGTAGCAGTAGCACAATTGACGTGAAATTTCACGCCGGAGTTGACTGAGTCTGTCAATGTGACTGAGTCTGTCAAATTGACGGAATCTGTCACGCCGTCGCTGTCATAAACTCTCACTATCAGCGGGTTCTGCTTCTGGAGAACAAACGCGTCATAGAGGTCATCGTTAGTGGAAAGCACCAGCATGTCTCCGTCCGTGTCAGTGTACAAAAACAAGATCAGCAGGGGTATTAAATTGCTTGCGGATTCGAAGGTCGACCAGGTCGAATGGCGGAGGGGAGCAGTCGAGAAACGCGATGCGACGAATTTTACTACTTTCGCCGAGATAGGCCTGAAAAATCGGGGAGACGAGGTGGAATTGTGGGGAAAGGGGAGGGGGTTGGAAAGGTGGGAGAGAGGAGGTGGACGGGAGGGGGGGAGGGGAGGGAGGGGGTCAGTTCAGACGGCGGAGAGAAGCAAGGAGGCCAGAGGCGACGTAGATATCCGCGGGCGAGGAAGAAAGCGAATTACAAACAACGAAGGCAAACTGTGCACAGTTTGCCTCCCGTAGCCCACAGTTTTGCCCCGCGTTGACTTGCGTTGAGCAATTCAGGTCTTGCACTTGGTTGGGTTCCGTGACTGGTTGACGAATGACAAAATCTGTGACGAGCTGGGGTGCGATTCTGGCATCGTGGACGTGCAAACCCAACCGAGTGTTAAACGCTTTTAAATATGAGACGCGAGCTTTTCATGTGCTAGTATCTGTGTGCTAACACACGAAATACAAGCTCCTGGTGCTATCATGATAATAAAGGCTGAAAAACGACATCGCGGAAAAGACAAGTGAGAAATGTCACAGAAATGTGACTTTCCCGTGACTTTTGCGTGACAATTTTCCGTCACGGAAATGTCATGGGTGGAAGTGCCAAGAAGTGAAGTCACGGAAACGTCACGGAAAAGTTATGAAATTTCGTACAGAAAGTCACAGAGATGTGACTGGCAAAGTGATGTTCGCGTAACCTTTTTGTTCCCTGGCCACGTGGCCAAGTGGCGTTACATCTTTCCAGACAGTTCGCCAGGTGTCCATGTTGGTGATTGGCCGAAATCGACCAATCAAATGTCAGTTAGGGGATGTGCCAAAACGTAATTTCATTGGCTAGCGATTGTGAACAGCGACCGCATGTCGCACACGAATTGCAGCATCGCACTGAGCACGTCGGAAATTCAAAACACAACCGGGTGTCATTATTCAACACGTACATACATTGAGAGAGCAACACAACCGCACGTCTGCACAACAGCACGCCCATATGGACACATAGCTAACCAGCTCTAACTTAAAGCATAGTTAGGACCTAAGCCGACAAGATGGGGTCGGACGATACTTGAGTATACCAGCAAATTAAATCACGGAACGGTTTGGTGCCTGCATAAAACACGCCGAACGTTATGGAACCTGCAATTAAGACAACAGCAAAAGATCGTGACATGTGAGGGAGAAAGAAAAACAACTACGTGAACAGCTTGAAGAATAAAACGGTCGACGTGCCCCCGCTGCAGCACGGCGATGCAGTGCGCGCGGCGCACGGTGAACAGGCGGTGGGCGACGACGAGCGTGGTGCGCGCGCCCATAAGCGCATCGAGCGCCGCCTGCACCGCCTGCTCAATCTCCGCGTCCAACGCCGAAGTCGCCTCGTCCAGCAGCACCACCGGCTGATTCCGTAGAATAGCCCAAGCGATCGCCACGCGCTGCTTCTGCCCCCCGACAGCTGCGTGCCTCGCTCCTACACCTGCGACTCGTAGCACTGCAGAGGGAGGGGGAGGGTAAGGTGGGAAGAGAGCGGTAAGAATGGGAGTGCGAGGCCGGGGTATGGGAGGCGGAAACGGAGGGTAAGGGGGAACGGAAAGCAGTCTTGAGGAGCAGGGGTAAGAGGGAGAGACGGAGGGTGGAAGAGAGACGGATGAAGGAGAGGCGCGAGCGCACTTACGTCGGCCAGCGAGGAGATGAAGTGGTGGACGTTGGCGGGGCTGAAGCGCTGGAAGATGGGCACGTCCGGGCGCGAGGGGTATGCAAAGGTCACCTCGCGCAGCCCCATCGCGCCCTCACACGCCAGGCTAACCTTGAAAATGGTTTGGGGAGGGCAGAAGCAGAGGGGAAGGCAAAAATGCGATTACCAGCGGGTGTGGAATCAAGACAGGCATAAACACAAGAAGCGACACGGCACTGACCGAATCTGTCGTCCAAAGCGACTGCCTGGGCGGCGGCTTCCCGTCGCTAAGCGTGCGGCGGTTCGTCATCCGGAGATTAACTGCGGAGGGGGGGGAGGGAGGTTGGAAGAGCAGGGAGGAAGCCGAGGATGGTACGTTCGGAGTGAGATATGCAGTTGCGAGTAGGTTTAGATAAGAAAAAAAAAAAAAAAAAAAAGGACCCGAAGTGTATGGACCGGAACCGCAAGCTAGCTTCAGAAATTGCTAGCTCCTGGTAATGGATATGAGATATTCGCGATGTCGAAAATATAAAAAAAACCGGAGCGCTTGGAAGGAGGAACATAGAGCTCTGGAGGGTGTCTAGATCTTCGTTGCAAGGAGAGGAGTTTTTAGACGGGAGATCTAGACTAACTGCTGAAAACGTGGGAGGCATAGCATTTGTAAGGTGGGGTGGGGGTTGGGTGGAGGGGGTGGGAGGATGAGGGGTTGAAAGTGGTTTGAAGTTCGGTATGCTGATGTGTAGATAAGGGAGGGTGTGAGTGCTGATTATGGTTTTGTGGACCACCACGATTGGTTGGGACGATTCGTAAGGCTCGGTTTATTTGGTTCGGTAAGGTGGGAGATATGGGTGGTTACTAATGATGAGATGTGGCACGTTATTTAATTTTGATTGGGTGATGTACTTGGCTTGGAGATGACTTGTTTGCTTACGTGTACCCTCGACTTGGCAGAATGTTGTTCATTCTGTGCTTGCGAAATTGGCGAACGTTGTTGCCCCGTTTTGATTTTCATCGCTGGTGGTCCTTTATTTTCGTATGTTTCGTGATCCTTGTTCACCCAGTTGGGTTGGTGAACTCGGTCCGCAACACAAAGATGAATCGCATTCGAACGCTCTAAACCACTTGTGTTATATTTAACCACCCAAACCACCCGAACGTTTTCGCAACTAACAGTTTCGCGTCACTCGAATGTTGCTGAAGCGTGACAATTTTGTCCTGGTTGAGAGTGACATTACCGTCACATTTTGTCTGGGATGTTTTGTAAGACTTCTGGGACTTTCTGTGTGCTTTTTTGTAGAAAAACCTACGGAAGCCAAAATTTTGCGCTCGACTTTTCCGCGATGGATTACCTTTTTCGCGATTGCGTCAGTCGCGCGCTCGCACTAGAGAACGCGATGAATTAGGGCAACTAATCATGCAGCCGCACTTAAGCTCACCCATGACATTTCCGTGACGGAAAATTGTCACGCAAAAGTCACGGGAAAGTCACGGGCAACTAATCATACAAAGGGCGTGCGACACATGGTGAAATTACAGCCGCACGGTCGACAGGAACATGATGGGAGAACGTCCGCCATGGATTGGCAACTCGGAAGAGCGTCGACGGTCATACTAGGTAATAGTACTACTACTACCGCTAGTTGGGGTCGGGTGAGATTTGACAGTCGCAACGAAAGGCTGAGCTGGATATCGTCAAGATATCAAGGTTGCTTAATAAAGATTGCGTGACGCCTGGCGTAACGGAGAGGACTCGGATGCTAGAAACGGCGAGGCGACGATGACGAGGGTGCAGGAGAACGCGTGTTTCACCCTGATGCTCGACCTGCACCTTATAACTTGTGCTTTGAGGGTCTCAAGAGCCGCTTTTCACGGCCTCTCAAACAAAGACGATGGGCTTCCTTGAGGTGAACGCAAGTTAGTTGTCGCAACGAGAACCAGACGTAAGAAACCGAAATCTTCGTAATCGAAACTAAATTAGCGTGGGATGCTAAGTTGCTAACCGCGAACCAAAATCTCCACAAATATATATTCTGGAGCAGCAGCCGTGTCAGTTCAGCCGAGTCGAAACAGCAGGTTTGGCAAAAGCAACCCGAGCCGCGGAAAGCTGTTGCGTACTAAGCAGCAAGGAATCCATTTTAACCAACTGGAACAGATGAAGATAAACACCCAACCACGTAGTTGCACAGCCAAACCCACACCAACTAGGCCCGTTCGGCCCCAAACCTCGAGCCTTTTTATGAAAAAAACATCGAGTCGCATTCGGCTCTGCGCGGGACATTTTGAACTTATCTTCAGTTCGGTTTAATGTGCAGCAGAACATTGTTAGGCAAAAATTACTTCAGAGAAAGTCCTCCAACATCTGTGCACCTATGGAGGATAAAGTTCACTTTGGATGCAGTTCCTTGGCACATGTGCTTGTTTCCATATAGCAAGCTAAGCCACAGCAGGAATATGAAGTGGGGATGTGCAAATAACATTTCTAGATTGATTAAACAAGCAAATCCATCCACATCCAGCATTATAAATAAGGAGCAATGCTTTGTCACACATCCAACATTTACGGTCCATGCCCCAGACCTTTTCAAGGTGAAGAATTGGTACCGGTAAATGCTGCTGCTGCTGCTTCAGAAGAGAACAGGGGCTGAAAACACTAGATGAACAAAACCTTTTAGTGGGTTATTCTGAAAGCTCTCGGCCTCCTTGCACCAACAAACTCCAGGTGAAACCCCTGCAAGGTCTTATGGGATGTAGTAGCAGCAGAAACAGCTGGAGCGCCTCTGAGATAAGACCCGGTGGCTGCTGCAGGAGCGGCAGGAGTGGGAATGCCAAAAGCAGGAGCCGCAGGAGCGGCAGAAAAACCAGCAGCTGCCTCTTGAAGCCCCTGGACACATTGATTAGCAGCTGTGGCAGGGAAGAACATAGGAGCAGCCCACGAGGTAGCAGCAGCAGCAGCAGCAGCAGCAGGAAGGGCAGGATTGGGAGTGCCAAAAGTAGGAGAGGCAGCGGGAGTGGGAGCGACGAAACCAGGAGCAGCAGCGGGAGTGGGAGTGACGAAACCAGGAGCAGTAGCGGGAGTGAGAGTGACGAAACCAGGAGCAGTAGCGGGAGTGAGAGTGACGAAACCAGGAGCAGTAGCAGCAAGAGTGAAAAAGCCATAACCAGGTCCAGTAGCGGCAGTGAGAGTGCCAAAACTAGGAGCAGCAGCAAGAGTGAGAGTGCCAAAACCAGGAGCAGCAGCGGGAGTGGGATCACTAAAGACAGGAGCAGCAGCAACAGTCAAAGGAGCGGAGGGACCAGAAATAGGCGGAAGAACAGCAGCAACAGGAGCAGCAGCCACAGGAGCAGCAGCCACAGGAGCAGCAGCCACAGGAGCAGTGGCAACAGGAGCAACAGCAGCAGGAGCAACAGCAACAGGAGCAGCAGCAACAGGAGCGTCAGCGACAGGAGCAGCAGCAACAGGGGCAGCAGCACCGTCAACAGGAGCAGCAGTGGTAGAACCAGGAGGAGGTGTGGGGACAGGAGCAGGGGGGGAAGGGGAAGCTGAATCACAACCACAGTTGTGAGCGAGGCAGGAGGGAGAGCAGAGGCGGGAGACGAGGCGGGAGCAGAGGCGGGAGAGGGAGAGCAGCGACGGGGGGGAGAGCAGCGACGGGAGGGAGAGCAGCGGCGGGAGGGAGAGCAGCGGCGGGAGGGAGAGCAGCGGCGGGAGGGAGAGCAGCGGCGGGAGGGAGAGCAGCGGCGGGAGGGAGAGCAGCAGCAGCGTTGCGAGGTGGTGGTAGATGGATCAGAGCAGAGGGAGCAGGGGGCGGATGACGAAGAAGTGGGAGCAGCTGTAGCTGCCACTGCTCCAGAAGAAAAGAGCGGGTGAAGCACCTCGGGAGGGGTGCTGACGCTGGCGCTGTAGTAGTACCATATTGGACGAGCGATTTGACGTTAGTCCGTCACGCCTGTGAAAAACTCAACTCTCACTTCCGGCGGGTTGTGGCGGAAGGGCAGCAGTACTAGAGAAAACCTTTAGCAAGTAAGAGAGAGAGAGAGAGAGAGAGAGAGAGAGAGAGAGAGAGAGAGAGAGAGAGAGAGAGAGAGAGAGAGAGAGAGAGAGAGAGAAACCTTGCCTCACCGTGATTGAGCCCTTGGTGGAGGATTAGAAGGGGGTAGGCCAGCTGGTGACTAGGTTAGGTTGCTTGCTTGTTTGTCGTTAGATGGTATGTTTGTTTGTAACCTTTGCCTCTTCACCTCGCCAAGCGAGGAGTGTGGCGAGTGGTCGCCGTGTCGTCGGCGACGGCGTCACCCCCCTCAGGTGAGTCAGAGGAGTCAGAAGAGATCTCAACTGGCTCATCCAAGGGGGGTGGGTCTACCTGGGACACACCTGAGGGAGCAGGACCCTGTGGGGGGAGGGGGTCTACCGGGGGGGGGACTGGTACCAGGAAGAGGGGTGCAAGGGGGACCGGGTGGGACGCGTGCGGGTGAAGTCGGTAGTAACAGACCGACTCGTCGAAGGTGACGTCCTGAGAGGACAGAACACGACGCGAGGCAGGGTGGTAGAACTGCCAGGGTGGAGCGTCGGTGGGGAAGCCCAGGAAGACACAGCGGAGAGTGCGAGGAGAGAGCTTGCTCGCTTTGGTATCGCGAACAAGGGAGAGCGCGCCCCAGACCCGAAACGACGACACATCACCAGGCTGTCCCGTCCAACGAAGTGTGGGCGAGGTCTCTGGAGCAGAGACACGGGGCCAGAGGTTGAGCTGATGCGCGGCGTATCGGACCGCAAACGGCCACAGGAAATGGGGAGCAGCCGCATGGATCATGGAGGTACGAGCAACCTCCATGATCAGGCCAATGCGACGCTCAGCGATCCCATTTTGCTGCGGAGAGGCCGGAAGCGTGAACGACTGGGCGATGCCCTCATCCTGGCAGAACGTCTCAAGGACGCCAGAAGAGAACTCACCACCCCTGTCAGAGTGCAGACGCAGGACTGGGAAGTCCTGATGAAAGCGCTCGTGTAGCTGGAGACGAGTAGCACGGATCCAAGGGATCAAAACACCGCTTACGTCCGCCTTGCGACGCAAGGGGAAGACTGTGGTGTAGCGTGTGTAGTCGTCAACAACCAGCAGGAAGTAGCGCTCCTGGTCCGTCCCACCGACGGGGGCCGGGCCCCACACGTCCAGGTGGAGAGTCTGCAGAGGAGCAGTGGTCGGAGGAAACTCGGAGGAGTGAGGAGCGGCGCGCTGCCGCCCCTCGACGCAAGGAAAACACGGCGGCGCAAGTGAGCGCGGGAGGGGGGGCAGGGTCTCAGGGAGGCCAGAGACCAGGAGCCGGGAGTGCATGCCGCGCAGACGCTGCAGGGAGGGGTGACCAAGACGGTGGTGCCAGCGCTGAGTCTCGTGCGTGAGTACTCTGCACGAGCAAGACGCAGCTAACTGCCCTGACGCAGACGCTCGACTCGACGCAGCTACCTGACCTGACTCAGCCACCTGTGCAGACGCAGTGGTCAGTGTGTACAGACTAGACCCAGGCTGACGAGTGAACGTAGCCAGGTGACGGGCAGTCCGGGAGCACGTACAGATCGCCACACGCTGCCCTCCAGGAATAAAGGTATCAACCCAGACATCCTGAATGGCAGCGTTGCTCACCAAGTTCGTCGAGAACGTGGGGAGGTGGAGACCTGACAAAGAACCAGAGGGGACTGCTGGACAAGGGAGGACCGTGGAGGCTCTCGCAACCACTGGGCCCCCAGAGGGGTCAGCCAGTGAGACTGGGACAGGTGCTGTGAGTGGTGTGACTCTGGTGCAATCACGGAAGAAGCAACGTGACGCGCCTGAGTCAAGCGTGAAAGTGTGCAAGACCTCAGCTGAGGCAGGACCTGTGGTAGTAGACGCACTAGCACCTAGAGCGTCGGTAGACTCACGGGCACCTAGAGCTGCAGCAGACTCACTAGCACCTGGAGCGGCAGCAGACTCACTAACACCAAGAGCAGCAGTCCTAACAAAACGATAACCTCCACCACCAGGACGACCTCGCTGAATAACCCACTCACGAAGCTGCTGAGGGGTGAGGTTGTCTGGGAGAAGCAGTGCCCGCTGCTGTCCACCCCTGGCCGCAGCAACTGCCGCGGAAGTGGCCATGACAGACAGTGACGGTCAGGAGTAGGTCCAGCACCTCCAGCTCCTATAGCGCCAGCAGCACCTCCTGCACTCCCAGCAGCACCTCCTCCACTCCCAGTAGCACGAGTAGGAGCAGCAGCAGTAGTAACAGCAGCAGGGCGGCGCGCGGCCACAGCAGGGCAGTAGTAGGCAGTAGCTCCTAGGGCAGAAGCACCAAGGGTCCTCTTTTTTTTTCTTTTTTTTTTTTTTAATAAACAATTTAATTATATTTAGGGTATAGCAGGGCGCTGGCGCAGGGCAGGGCGTCAGCGCGCGCAGGGCAGGGCGCTGGCGCAGGTTGCAGGGGCAGGACGCGCGGGCTGCAGGGGCGCCGCGCTGGCTGCAAAGGCAGCTCGTACGGGCTGCAGGGGCCGCGCGGACGGGCTGCAGAGGCGGCGCGCGGGCTCCAGGGGCGACGCGCGGGCTGCAGGGTCCACGAGGACGGGCTGCAGAGGCGGCGCGCGGGCTCCAGGGGCGACGCGCGGGCTGCAGGGTCCGCGAGGACGGGCTGCAGAGGCGGCGCGCGGGCTCCAGGGGCGACGCGCGGGCTGCAGGGTCCGCGAGGACGGGCTGCAGAGGCGGCGCGCGGGCTCCAGGGGCGACGCGCGGGCTTCAGGGTCCGCGAGGACGGGCTGCAGAGGCGGCGCGCGGGCTCCAGGGGCGACGCGCGGGCTGCAGGGTCCGCGAGGACGGGCTGCAGAGGCGGCACGCGGGCTCCAGGGGCGACGCGCAGGCTGCAGGGTCCGCGAGGACGGGCTGCACAGGCGGCGCGCGGGCTCCAGGGGCGACGCGCGGGCTGGCTGCAGAGGCGACGCGCGGCTGCAGGGGCAGCGTGAACGGGCTGCAGGGGCAGCGTACGGGCTGGAGGAGCAGCGCGCGGGCCACAGGGGCAGGCGCGGCTGCAGGGGCAGCACGGTAGCAGGGGCGAGCACGGCTGCAAGGGGCAGCACGGTCGTAGGGGCGAGCACGGCTGCAGGGGCAGCGCGGTCGCAGGGGCAGCGCACGGGCTGCAAGGGTCGCGACAGTGAGAGCTAGGGGCGCCAGCGCGCTGGCTACTGTGTAGGGCGTGGCGCTACCACTAGGCGGAACGGTGGGCCCATGTAGGAACGGTTCCTACTCTGATAACATGTCAAGAATACAACTAGGAATGATGGATTGAACTAGGCAAGAGGTGAGTACAAGTAGGGGAAACCTAACCCTAAAGTGTTGTACTCACTAAGGAGTGACCCTACTGTAGCCTAGAGATACAATGGTAATCTGACACAAGGACCATTAGAGAGAGAAAAAAATCCTAGCTAGAAGAACCCTGATTGCAAGAACTGTAAGGAGCGGGAAAAGCCGTCAAGCCTTCATCAGTGCTTCTGAACACAACGAGCTAAGTACAAACGCACACCACGAACAGAAATCAAAGTTCCCAACTACCCAGATTACCTAACAATGGGCGTTCGCCAACACAGCACTGGGTAGACACCCAAGGTTACAAGTTTTCCGTGGTGTCTTCGTCAAAGCTGTCGATAAGCCTTGGAACCTTCGCTCGCACGAGTAACTTTTGCAAGTTACATGCACACCTCCATGCAGTAAACACATTTCCCATATAGAATCCACGTGAATTAAGACGTTTTTTGAGGTGCTTCAATGATAGTACTCAACTGTCACTTCCAGCAGGTTTCTCTTCTGGAGAACAAACACGTCGTAGAGGTCCTCGCTAGTGGCGATCCTTATCCAGTCTCCAGCCGTGTCATGGTAATGGAACATGAGGCGCTTGTCGGCCGGGATATCGAGCTCCTTGTGAATTCGGAAGTCGACCAGGTCTAACGGCGGAGGGGAACAATCGAGAAACGAGATGCGCCACTTACGCTTGCCAGTTTTGGAATTGAACTGCGGAGAGAAGGGGAATTTTGGAGAATGAATGAGGGTGGTGGGGGGGGGGGAAGGGGAGGAGACAGAGGAAGTTGGAGAAGGTGTATCAAGGAGATGTAGAGTGATATGATAGTAAAGACTAGAAAAATGATGGCCTTCTTGCAATCTAGCTAATCGTGCATACATGATATGGAAAATTCGAAGGGATAGATTACAATCGCGCTTGTGCTCACCTTTATCACGTAGGGCACACGAGACATGGGAGGGGGAGCAGCGGCGGGAGCGAGAGCAGCAGCAGAGTTAGGAGGTGGTGGTAGATGAGTCGACTCTAAAGCAGAGGAGCGTGAGGGAGCAGGGGCGGATGAGGAAGAAGAGAGAGCAGCTGTAGCTGCTGCTGCTGCTTCAGAGGACGAGAAGGGTTGGAGCGGCTCGGGAGGAGTGCTGACGCCGACAGAAACGCTGGCGCCGTGGGTAGTAGTCCCACAGTCTACGTGAGATTTTGCCTTGACGGGGTCCGACTTGACAGAGTCTGTCATGGTGACAGAATCTGTCACGCTGCTCTTGTAAGAAACTATCACTTCGAAAGGGTTTCTCCTCTGGAAAACGAACGCGTCGTAGAAGTCCTCGTTACTGGTGATATACATGTAATTTCTGGGCGAACCATCGTCGTAAATGAACCCAAGGGGCTTGTCTGCGGGGATGCCGCACACTTTCTGAATTCGGAGGTCGACCAGGTCCAACGGCGGAGGGGAGCAACCGAGAATCGGGACGCGCCATTTAGAGCCGTTAAGTATTGCCTGAAATTGGGAGAAAACATGGCAGAATCCAGAAAGGGAAGGAGGGTGGGGGGGCAGGGGAAGCGAAAGAGGAAATTGGAGAAGGGTTTGTGGGGGGGGAGGGACGGGGAGGGAGGGGGGCCGAAGAACAGAAGAGACCATGAGGCAGGGTTGACTGCCACTAGGGCAAGCGGCGGAGAGAAGTGAGGAGGCGAGAGGGAGGGGGAAGAAAAGAAAAAGGACTATGGGGCAGGCAATGACTGATTGCAACCAGGGAAAACACAGTGGCGCTCGATTGACGTTTCGATTGAAGATGATAGTCACAAGGAAACCGAGAAACCTACTTCTAGTCAAGCTTGAATGAAGCTTGAACCAAAGATAATAATTAGAAAGGAGACACTGGAGAAAGAAGGCAGCAAAAAGGCAGCAAAAAGGTAGCAGAAAGGCAGCAAACAGGCCAGCGGCGGCGTAAAAACACGGCGGAGCTTAATTAGGACGAGAAAAACTGGAAGGACCCGGGCTACAAGTCGGACAGCGAACGAGAAGGGACGTCCGCTCGTATCAAGGAAATGTAGTAAAAGCTAGGAAAACGATGACATTCTCGCATTTTGGCTACTAATCATACATACGTGAAATGGATTTTTTTTAAGGGATACATATCAGCCGCGCTTGAGCTCACAATTATCACGTAGATAGACGGTTGACAGGAACATGAGGCAGGTGAGGGAGCAAGGGCGGTTGAGGAAGAAGAGGGAAAAGCTGTAGCTGCTGCTACTGCTCCTGCTTCAGAGGACGAGAGGGGTTGAAGCGGCTCGGAAGGAGTGCTGACGCCGACAGAAACGCTGGCGCCGCTCCCACAGCTGACGTGGGATTTAGCCTTGACGGGGTCTGTGTTGACAGAGTCTGTCAAGTTGACGGGATCTGTCACGCCGGCCTTGTAAGCAACTGTCACGTCCAGCAGGTTTTTCTTCTGGAGAACAAACGCGCCGTAGAGGTCCTCGTCACTGGAGAGTGGCACTGTGTATCCGTCCGTGTCATCGTAAAGAATCTCGAGGGGCTTGTTAAAGGGGATATCCAGGGCCTTTCGGATTCGCAGGTCGACCAGGTCGAATGGCGGAGGGTAGCAATCAGGAAACGAGAGGCGCCGTCTGTTACCGTAAACATATACCTGACATTTGGAAAAACGAGGGCAAAAAATGAAAAGGAAAGGAGGGCAAGCGGGGGACGGAAGCGGGTTGGGAGGGGGATCCCCGGGGGGGAGAGGAAGAGAAATAGGAAGTTGGGAAAGTGGTGGAGGGGGAGGGGGGCCCGTAGAAGAGGTGAGATCATGAGGTAGATGGTTGATTGCTACTTGGGCAAGCGGCGAAGAGAAGTGAGGAGGCGACAAGGAGGAGGGGAATCGAAAAGGTTCTAGTTAAGCTTAATTGAAGTTTCGACCGAAGAAAAAATCTGGAAAAAAAGGAGATAGCAAGGGCTTGTAAAACGACGACCTTCCCGCACTAATGAGAAAGAATATTCATGGAAATTAATACATCCGCGTTGTGCTCACCCTTATCGTGTAGCCGCTCGGTTGACAGGGGCATGATGGATCCGCCATGGATTGGCAGCTCGGAAGCGCGTCCGCGGTCATAGGCGATAGTAGGGGTGGGTTGGGACAGAATGAGAGGCCGAATCGGGTTTCAAATAATACAGTATCACGATTTCCTGACGTCTAGCGTAGCGGAGGGTGTTCGGATGCTAGAAACGGCGAGGCGACGATGGCGAGCGTGGAAGAGAGAAGGACACGTGTTTCACCCAGATGCAACACCTGTACCTTCTAACGTGTGCTTTGAGGGTCTCAAGTGCCGACGGCCTTACAAACGATCATGCTGGGCTGGGCTACCGTGAATTCTAGATAAGGTCTGGTTTCGGGTTTATTTAGGATCACAAGGATCAGACGAACCTCCAGCCGCGGGATGCTAATCCATCCTGACCAACTCGGAACCCCACAAAACCGACTTCAGATATGGAAAGTACTCACCCAACCACGCAGCCGAATTCACACGTCAGCCAGGCCCTATCTGCAAACCAATCGAGTCGCATTTGGCATTGAGTGCGACATTTTGAACGAATATCCGGTTCGGTGTGACGTTGTGTCATCAAAAACTCGTTATGAGCATATGTGCAATTCTTAGGGCAGTGAGAGCGGAATGACGGTTTAAAACATTCGAATTGTTATTATGCCTTGTCACAATAACCACGTTGAAGCAGAGCTCTGGAAGCTACTACCTGTAGTAATCCTTCATCAAGCAACACATGCTTGTGACATCTTATCCACTTATGGAATCACTGCGATCGTCTATCTCTAGAATTCATATCCCTAGACTGTAGAAAGTAACCAAATAGTCTGAAAGCACTAAAGTCCAGGCTCAGGAACAGTGCAGCAAAGAAAAAAGGAGGCTAAAGTGGGCCAGTTAACAAGGGTATCGTTAAGGGAATGGGCAAAAAAGATAGTGGGGACGACATATGGAACAGGCGCAACACACAGGAGAGAATATGGGGACAACGGAAAGGGGAAGACCGAGAGGGGAAACGAAGACGGAGCAACGGGTGCGGGGAGGGGGTGACGGAGAGAGGGTGACAGGGAGGGAGGAACGGAGTGGGCGGACGCAGTGGGGGAGTCGAAGAGAAAGAGACGGAGAGGAAGCGACGGAGAGCGGGAGACAGAGAGGGAGAGACTGAGAGGGGAAGAGGGATAGCGGGAGAGGGAGGGGGAGACGGAGTGGGCGAGACAAAGAGGGGGGGCGGAGATGGGGAAGATGGAGTGGGGGAGACGGAGAGGGGGAGACAGAGAGGGGGTGGCAGAGATGGGGAGACGGAGCGGGAAAGATGGAGTGGGGAAGGTGGAATGCGGAAGATGGAGTGGGGAAGATGGAGTGGGGAAGATGAAGTGGGGAAGATGGAGCGGCGGAGACGGAGAGGGGGGGACGGAGTGGGGAGACGGAGAAGAGGAGACGGAAAGGGGGAGAGAGAGGGGGAGATAGAGAGGGAGACGGAGGTGGGGAGACGGAGTGGGACAAACGGAGCAGCGGATACGAAGAGGGGGAGACGCAGTAGCGGAGACGGAGACTGGGAGTGGAGGAATTTTGAAGGACTGGGATAAGAGACTGAGGGGGTGGAGGAGAGAAAGTGAGAAGATACCAGAAGTTTGGCTAGAAAGAAAATGAAGCGGAGGACGAGGGTGGAAGGCGAGGAGGGGTAGATGGAACCACGGAATCAAAGGCTTCCGGAGGAACGAAAATGGCAGGCAAAAGAAAGCAACAGATGTAGGATATCATCCACTACAAAAAGTAAGTTCAGTAAAATGATTTGTCCTTTGTTGTCTTTTAAAAGTATTGTCGAGTGATTGCATCAACCAGGGTTGGCCAATGAGCGTAACGATAATAAAATGTTACAGCAATGTTAAAATGGGAAAGATACTTCATTCTTTAAAAAATGGAGAGCAAAACAAAATTGCATCTTATTTTTCTCGGACAACCTTTTACGTCACCAGCTGGAGGCTGAGAAGCTCTTCCTCGGGAATGACGCGGATTTTACAGTCGGACTTCGGATACGACGCACACATCAGCGCGTAGCCCTGCTCCATGACGTCATCGCTCAGCATGCCTTCCGATTGGTCCACCTCACCCGAAATCAGCTTCGCAGGACACGTCATGCACACGCCGAGCTTGCAGTCGTGAGGCAGATCCAGGCCAGCGTCAATCGCGGCGGACAGGATGGTCTCGTCCTCGGGAATCTCGAGAATGTGTGTTTTACCCTGATGCTCCACCTCCACCTTATGTGCGTGCACAACGAGCCGCCTTCTCCCGGCGCTTGAAGCACTGAGAGCGTTGGACCGGATCGGCCCGCTGAGAACACGTGGACAGGCGACGAAGTTGGATTTCAGAACTGTGGAGGTGCCGAGTCCCGCGACCGGAGTGACGGTCATGTGCAGCCGGCACGCAGCCATGGCGGACAACTACGGATTGCTTTACGGAACGAGAATGCACGGACGGAGATCAATCCACTCAGACCGATTAGCGCCGCTTTGATAGTTTACGCTTTGTTTCTCGCGTAGAAAGTACGAGAAAAGAACTGAGTGAATCGGGAACGCTACGAGAAAGTGGAGGTGAAAGCGGAGGTGAAAGCGAACTCTAGCAGTAGGTCAGGTCAGCAGGACTCAAAACACGATGAGCGCCATCGCAACATTCTGGGATTGGGTAATCCATGGCAACGTTCAAGGGGCTGCCAGGGGAGGGCCACGTCATCAGTGGAAAGCTGAGTGGTGTAGCGCCTGCTAGCAAGAACGCAATCCATTTTACGACGTGGCGCACTCGTGCCACCAATGAGAGGCCAAAGGATTCCGCGTAAGTGCACGACGAAACCTTAGCTGATATACGCCGTCGCGACACTCCCAGAAACAGATTATGGCAGCACAAACATCAACCTGTATCTTACGGGTGTTATCGCGTTCGTATTTTCCAGAATTACTGACGCTATCAATACTGAACTATCTGAAAAATGTGCAGCATAGCTGAGGGTAAACCACTTATAATTGCGTTTCTTTACACAATGTACCACCACCCTTACGCAGCCACTCCCTTGGAAGCCAGGAATTCAGCCATCTGTGCCTGCCTCTTCACTGCCAAAGCCGGGAGGAACTTCTTCCTTCCAGGTACAACCTCAAGTGTGCAACCAGCAGCCTCGAGTTTTTCCCGGGCAGCTTCGCTGAAAGAAGCCGCCTTGATGGTCACCTTGGTGGAAATCTCGCCATCGCCCAAGATCTGATGGAAGGGGCACATGAATTTTATGACGCGTATTACATGAGTGAAGGATAATCCAACTCAGATGAGAGTAGACGAAAGCTACATCCATCTCCTCTAAATCCCCCACTTGAAAAATAACACATTTTGGGCAGCCATGCACCCATTTCACCATGCCTCCATCCCCCAAACTTAGGGCAGGACCAGCCTTACAGAAGTCCTCAACATTCTAGAAGTCTCGAACATACGTACGCACCTTGAGTGGCAGCCGGCGGTCGCGGCCAGAGGGGTTGAGAATGCCATCCTCAACAAGGCTCTCCAGAGACACCTCCTCGCCTTCCTCCAACCCCATCTCCTCCAAATCCCCCACGTTCAGCGTCACATACTTGGGCAGACCCGCGCCCATGCCCCCCGCAATGCCCTTCAGCTTCGGCAGCCGCCGGTACAGGGGCATCTGCCCGCCCTCGAACCCGAACCTCACGCCCGGCCCGGACCTGGACTTCTGCCCTCGCATGCCGAAACCGCAGCTGGCGCCCTGGCCTGCGGCGTGCCCGCGCCCCTTGCGCTTCTCCTGGCGCCGGGATCCCGGCTGGGGGGCCAGGTTGTTCAGGCGGAACCGCTCTGAGGGTGGGGAAGAAGGGGGGGAAGGGGCAAGATGCGGGGGGGGAGGGGAGGGGGGGAGAGGGGGAGAAGGAGGGAGGCGGAATGGGCGTGAGCGAGCAGGAGCAAAAAGAGCAGGATGGGCGCTGGAGGGGAAGGAGGGGGCCGGGATGGGTGTGAGCAGGAGCGGATAGTGATGAGAGGGTAAGAGCAGGGGATGGTTAGGGCAGCACCAAACACAGACTGCGAGTGGCATCAGAAAGTTATATTCTCTTTCAGTGAGAGCGAGGCTCTCTAAAGAAGTACGAATACAAATAGAAACAAACGCATCACGCGCCACTGGGAGTGCGTGCTATGACCGCACGGTTTTCTACGTAACAAACCAGGAAATAGCAGACAGAGACAATAAATTCGAGAGAAAAGGACGAACAAAAGAACAAGGGGAGTGAGACCACGGGAGGCAGATCCGGGACGGGACGAAGAGAGGCGAAAGAACCGGGATACGAAAGAACCAGGGGAGCGAGACCACAGGAGGCAGATCGGACGGCTCTCAGTGAAATGCGACAGTAAATCGTCATGCTGCAACGTCAGGGCGTTGGGACTATTTTTGACATCCTAGAGCCGGTGACCAGATAAAGGTACGGACATCAAAGGCTTGTGGATTTGACCGAGAAACGAGGGTGCCGTCAACGAGGGGAACAAGGGGACGGTGGGATCGAGACGAAAAGGACGAACGGAATGAGAGAGGAAAGGGATGACGAGACGGAAGAAGCAGGGAAGCGAGACCACGGGAGGTAGATCGGACGGCTCTCAGTGAAATGCGACAGTAAATCGTCATGCTAAACGTCAGGGCGTTGGGACTATTTTGACATCCTAGAGCCGGAGACCAGACAAAGGTACGGACATAGACGCTGGTGACTCTGACGGGGTAAAAAGGGTGCTATCAAAGAGGAGAAAGAGGGGAAGCAGGTTGAAGGTAGAATCAAATAAAAGGAAGGACGGAATGCGAATGGAACGGGATGAAGAGAGAAAACGTTCGCAACAGGCGCCACGCGCAAAACCGAAGGAGGAGGTACAAGACACGGAATCGGATATAAGAGACTCGGGATCAAGAGAGTCGAGAGAAGGGAAAACCAGGGGAGCGAGAGAACGGGAGGTAGATGGCGGTTTTCAGTGAAATGCGACAGTAAATCGTCATTCTGAACGTCAGGGCGTTGGGACTATTTTTGACATCATCAAGCCGCGTTCTGCGACCGCATTTGCGGAACAAATTTTGTATCATAGACTATGCAAGAGCGGCAATAGCGAATGCCGACACCTCAGATACTGCTCCACGTCGTTGCGATATCGCGTAGGAAGTGTACCAGCTACACCGTTCCAAACGACTCCCACATTCCCTGATCCCATTCCTTCAGACGCTTCAAAACCCTAGATGATGCTATTACTGAGGAGGCTAAAAAACCCTGATTACAAGCTTCCATCTGACACTGAGGACCGAGTAGGGAATCAGGGGCTTCTTAAAAAAGCAGGAGCTTCTCGCAACTCTGCGTTAGAAACTTCAAGGAAGAAGTGTCATTCTGCCATAAGCTGCCATAAGCTGCATCCGTGCTCTCGAAATCCGACTGCTTCAAGCTCTCGACGTTAGCAACCGACATCCCTCAGGCGCGCCTAGTTGTCAAGGGCGGCTCCGTCAACATGCCGTCAACAGTTCCGTCAACGAGTCCGTCGAACGGCTCACCGGGACGAACTGAATACAGTCATGGCTCTGCTCTATAACAACTCAGTGGTGGAACAGCTACATTACCGCAGCCGCTGATTTCTAACAGCTGCTCCTTATACATTACAACCAAGCGACTTTCATGCTTGAAGGGCTCTTCTTGACAGCTCTCTCGTAAGGACCTCCTACATCGTCCGTCTAGCCACAGCACCTGTTACCTGTTCTTCATACCACAGGTCCTCTGCCTAGCACAGCCGCTCACCTCACCTTGCGTGGCGGCGTCGGCGGAGGCCTGCGCGCGCACGGCAACGGCGGAGGGAGTCGCCGTGGCGGCAACTCGGCGGGGAGCGGAGATGGCTGCCCCGCGGAAAGAGACGGAGGCGGACGAAGAGAGGGCCTGGAGAAGACGGAAGGGAGACAGATCCGGAATGAGTGACGGAGCAAGATAGATATAACGAGAGGAAGAGGTGTTAAATGAGTAAACGGGTGAGTGGCCGTGAGAAAAACAAGCACATCAAATTCTAACAATACACAAACGAGTGGGAAACGAGCCGGTGTGTGTTGGTGTGCTGGGAAATGCCAATGAAGCATCTACGAAGCTTACATTCTGAAATCTCGACGCAGCGAGCGAGAGGCTGCTCATCTGCGCTTGCGTAGGCGCTACGAGCGACGCCATGGCTGGCCCAGAACACAGCTACCTTGAATCGCGGAGAAATAATACCCAAGCACCAAGGAGGACGGAAAATGAGCTCCTTGAAAACCCTAGAGAGGAGGGGAGTGTGAGCGCAGAGAAGCTTGGAACATGAAGCAGGAAAGAGGGAGCCTCTGCTGGCGAAGAGTTTGAGGTTCCCTGCTCTAACGATTTGTGAACGAAGCGTCTGAAGTCTTACGAAATAGAAAGTTGTAGACTCGCAAGATTTCGCCAGCTAGTTTCTCGAACTCATGTGACCCAGTTTCTGGTGCGAGTTTCGGGCAGACACTGCCCTGTCACCACCACCTGTGCTTTGGTATGATGGGCGAAGACGTGGCGTCTCAAGCCTTTCCGGATGACGCTGACGTGGTGCGAAAAGCCATGTGAGGATGTTCCAAGTGGAACCAGCCATTCCCGAGGGTTCAGGGTTCAAATTCGGTCAGCTGAACCGATTGAATGACTTACTGTACTGTACGTTTTCCCATGGAGTAGGTACACCCGTGCGCACATATCGAATCATGCTGGTGGTTGCACGGTAGTGAGTACAAAGGTCGGTTCAGTTCAGCGGATTTGCGTCGCATCGCATCAGCAGGTCGTTTGTTCCTGAACTTTCAGGCGACTACTAAGGGAAATGGGGAAAGATTAATCAGTTTTAGGACTAATTTTAAGACTTCCTCTCATGCAAGACCAATTTCAGACGGAGTGAGAGAGAGCAGGGTAGAATTCTGATCCAGAGTGCTCAGTTTCTGACCGCCAAGCGCGGTAGAAAAGATGTGCGCGCTGGATTCCGTTGGATTACTTTGGAAGGACACATTCTGGAAATCGTAGTATCGTCCGAATGAGGGATGCGCTTACCATGCCGCTGCCTGTCTCACTGTCGCATCAGCGTCTGCATAATCAAAACGACTCTCACAATCCCTCCGACAAGCCAAATTCGCTCCTCCGCAGGCTTATCAACAACTTTGCGAGCCACGTCAGCGGCACGGCCTCCACAATCACCCGTTACCGATCGCCGGTCGCATGCATCCAACCCGCGGCCGTCGTCGCCGTCGTCGCGACGGTCGCGCTGCTCCTACTCTTCGCACCCGGCGGTAACCAGCTGCCTTTTCGCGACAGCCTCCTCCTCGCGAAGTACCCAAGCAGCGGTGCGAACGATTTGCCGCAGAAAGACCAACTTC